TTGGTGAAGAGTAAACATGTGGTCCATACAATCATTAAAAGGGCGGAAACTAGCCTGGTTTCCGGCGAATCGGTTCTCAAGGGGATCAGTAAGTCGTTGGAGAAGTTTAGATGTAATGAAAACAAGGCTGATGCTTCGCTGATATTCGCAAAAAGTAAGCTGATCCTCCTTGAAGAAGGGCACGACAGCTGACAGTCGCCAGTCTGAAGGTACCTCTTCACTTTTCCATATCGTGTTGGAGAGAGTAGGGAGTTCAGTCAACAAAGTATCATCACCATCTTTCAGCAAAGATGGAGGAAAATCATCGGGTCCGGGAGCTTGTTTCGTTTCGAAATGGAAAGCTCTTTCAAAATGGGAGGCGTGACACCTATTTCCCAAGACAGCTCAGGCGATTCACCAGGCTGCAATGTCGCAGCAGGCCTACTGAACTGCTCTTCAAAATGTTCTGCCAAACGGGCCAGTCGACGACGCTGAGAATAGACTAGTTATCCGTCTTTCTCAGCTATTGTCTCGCTATCTGATGTCTTTCTCTGGCTCATATTCCGGATGAGCTGGAAAGGAACAGCCCAGGGAATAGAGTGAGCACTGGTCCGCAACGCAATTCTGTCGACAAAATGCCAGTTGAAGTGTTCAGAACAACACTCCAAGCGTTTTAAGAGGCTGTGGACAAGCTGTCCCACCCAGTCTTATGTGGTTTCGCTAACTCCAGGTTCCTAGCTTTCAATTCCTGTATCAGATTGAAAAATTTCTAATGGTTCCCAAGGGTAGCTGCCGTTCTCGTGTTCGATGCACGATAAAAATTTCATGGTTCCTTTTCGAGATAGCACGCAAATTCGTTGAGATATTTGCTAGTTGTATTGTGTTCGCTCTCAGTCAAAACGTGCAAACAATAATCCAGAAATTTCAGACTACGTAGAGACCCATCGCCTAATCTGTTAATTTCATTTACGACATATATCTGCAGCTAATAACGTCTGCTGAACATGTGATCAGTGACCGATTGCTTTCTATCCTCAGGTGCGATGCAAAACGCTTTGATATGCATTCACAATCAACAGCAGTACATCAGCCAATTGAACCGATGCCTCGTTGCCGTACAACCATGGTGAGCTAGCGAACGCAGGTTAATAAGAGGGAGAGAATGGAGACAGCGCAAAACCGCTGTGCCCTAAGCAAGAGTTCAAGGTCAAGGTGCCTACACTTCGTGTTAACAACATACCGTCACCAACAGCTGGTTGTCGTCCAAAGACAAGGCGGCATCGGCGAGACAGCTTCCCTGTGGCTTTCTTTGCCCCGTGCCATACTTAGCCATTACCCTACAGATAACTCAGCATCAGACACACTTTAAACAGGCAGTCCCACTGGAAGAGGACAGCAGACACACCAGTGGTGCCGAGTGCAAGCCATGTCCTGTAACGTTTCCAACCAAGCACAAGGCTAGTCACGTGAACTCTAGCCTGGAAAGCGAGACGGAACAACAGCACCGAGTTTGGTCGTCAGTGACTTCCTCTACGGCTACCAAGTTAATTTTCGCCCACTTTGGACTTCACGCCACTTTACATCTGGCAGAAGAAACAAGACCCTCCTCGGTAAGCGGTGTCCGGGCATACGTAGTACGTGCTCAAACTAACGCGTTATTCAGTGCCATCTGTTGTTCTAAGGAAATTGCTAGGGTATCATTGCCTAGCACATGCTTATGCATATCATCGTTGAAGGCACGCTTGTGCCATCCGATAGCAACGGTGCTCCACAGGCAGTGATGACCAAGTATTTCAAGGCCTAGTCTCACTTCTAGCCTCACTGTGGCACTCTAAACACGGCCTCTCAAACCGATGAAAACCCCTTCTGACATTACACGTGTCCCAGGTTCAGGAAGACAGTTCCACCTTTGAGAATACGTAAACTGACTTTAGCGGTTATACGCTCCTTGTTGGTGATGCAGTAGCAAAGTGCGGAATGGCAACTTTGGTAAAGTATATATGCTGTGGAATGAGCAAGGTAAGCAGTGACATCCAATGTTTAACGCTGAGATCTATAAATGAACTAGCATTTATCGCAACTTTTCGAAGACCTTTAGAAGTTCAGATGTACATACGATCGGGTGATATTAATGGGATTCCATTTTAGGCCTCGGAGTTATTTGGACCGAACTGCAAATGTCGGGGATTACGCTTATTGAAGAGATCTATTAAAAGCAATGTGATAAAATTAGTAAACTTTTTAAAAATTACCGGTGAGAGAACATTCGGGGGGATTAACTGTTTGATTTTAGCCTTTCGAGTTCCCTGTCAACACAGCAATGATCAAGTGGGCAGCTGCACTTAAGCTGATGAAGACAAGAATGATGTGTTTGATGGGGCAGGCTTAAACTCGGTAGCGGGTCTGTGAGCATCCAGTGCTTAACTACGGCTGTGACAAAAGTCAATACAGCTATAAAAAGTTGTGGCTGCCTAAAAGCGCCTCGATGCATAAAGTGTTTAACCTTTCTACTTTAGGTTTTACCACCGAATTTGGACTCGACGTCAGTAACCATGTGGCATTGGTAGCAAGCATGATGAAAATCCGTCTCCCTGCAGACATCTTTTCAACGGGTCAGCATACGTCGAAACAAAAACTAATGTAATCCGTAAGATGGCACATTAAACTGACAAGTCGTCATTCAGAAAGACTGAAAATATCCGTTAAAGAAAGCATCCCGTGGCGGAGGTGTACGCTATCGGGCGCATCCCTAGGTTACAGATTGGCGAATGCCTTCCTATTGGAGGTAATTGCGAATAAGTCTCATCTGATTTGCAGGCCAGATAAATAAGCAGTCGCGGACGATCAGCGGCAGCGTCTCAGAATGTGAGGAGTTCTGGGCTGGTTACCTGGTTCTCCATCAAATACCACAAGAGTTCGTGGGACGCGGTGTCAAAGTCAATGTGACTGTCTATAGGGTCACTGACCACTCACAGAGATCGGATGAACAACCTTGCTGGCCACCGGCTTCTCTGTGGACTGCAACCGAACACAAAGAAGGCGAATGAGCCACTTGGATGTCAAAGGTCTTCGTAGTCACCCTGCTTCCTTGCGGGTGCGATCTTTAAGACCAAAGGCTCGGGGTGGGGTCTCTTAAGTGTACTTTCTTACTCGGCCTGGGCAACCGGGTAGCTCACTGCCCATACCACACATGAGTCTTTGAACCCCTTCCTCTAACCCTCCTTCTTGTTGTTATTACTCATGTGTTGTGGCACTGCCAAATGTTTATTGGCCATATATATATATATATGTATATATGTATATATGTATATATATATATATATATATATATATATATATATATATATATGTATGTATGTATATCGGGACCACGTGATATGTCCATTGAAATAGTTTCACTATTAGGGTTTTGAAACGTAGTTTAGTCGATGTGACAAAACTAGCTTTAATTTACATGGTGGGACATAATTTTTTCAAAGGATGTTGTTTTCGTATGGAAAACAACTACATCTTGTGTAGTGCTTAGTGTAGCCAAGCGTCTCCAAGAATGTTAAATTTTAATTATTAAAGCTGCGGTAAAAGTATAACTAGGCACCCTAGTTTCAGCAGCAATGTCGAATAAACTTGATAAGCAAAATGCCTCCACTCAGACACGGAGGTGCAATGTAACACGCAGACTTTCCCGGCGATGACCGATTGAAAGCAAGTGTGGAAGTTTGCCCTGCGTTCGATTAAATGGCAGGACAAGGATTGCAGAATTGCACCAATGTTGATTAGCGAAAGTGACGACGCATCCGCTCTGTTTATTGGGCTTACCATGGCAGTGAGACCTAATGGTACTAAAGAGACAATACGAAATGCTTGTATCTACCAAATGTCGTCGTCTTGCTGTAATTTTCGAATAGCTATTAAGTTGAAGAACTTCGTTTTGCGCATCAAGGTGTAATAAATCCAGCTGCAACATAAGGACACCCGCAATTAAAGAATCTTCGCTGCATAAGCGAACTAACGCCGACAATTTATTCATGAAATGATAGTAAACTGTGAGAAAGTATCAATGAGAGTTGCTTTTCGATGACAGGGCATCGATGGAGGCCGCGTTGTTAATCAGCAAGATATATTCGCCTGTTTCGAAAACGTTGCATCATATTTCGTTCAAAGATGTTCTTGAGTTTGCGACTAAGTCCAAGAAAACGCGGATTTCGCACAAATTCATGCAACATTTTCGAAGGATTGACGGAATAGGGTGACATAAGTGACCTTGACAACGGTTGCGCAAAATGTCAAAAATATTCAAGTGGGACACGGAAACCACACGAGATAACGTATAGCAATGTTCCAATGAGAACCAAACGGTCGAATGTAAAGGCCCCACTAGCATACTCCATAACCTGCGTGGCTCACAACGTAAAGGAATCAGGTACTGCTCGAGAGCGTGGCTGCAAAACTCGTTGGATTTGCTTGGCGTCCGCTACAAGCTTCAAATGAACAAGCTTGTAATGTGGTTACGCACATCGTCAACCATAGTATTTGTACACCTGTGAACACAGTTAATCACAAATGCTTTTTGATGCATCCGCACTTGTGGGCTGCCTAACTTGTAGAGGGCGGTGCAGATCAATGAGCATCAGATGTGCTTGCAACCGTTTGAGACAACCACTGACGTTCGTACCCTGGGTCCAGTGAACTGAGATTATAACCTCTGCCTCTCATAGCCGAGTTCTAAGGAGAGATGGCCATCAAAATCTATTCAACTTCACTGTCTGATCTTCAAACATTGACACGCCAGGTAAGATTGCAGAGTGATGTGATATAGAAGGTAGTGTTTAGTCTAACTGTGATAGGAAAAGAAGTTATGGCCTCAGAGGTTCGGATAGAGTGAAGAATTGTAAAGAAAGATGTTTTTTCGAAACAATTTTTGAACTAAAATAGCTAAGTTCACTGCGTGATATGTAACGCTGCAAAGGAATTTAGCTACACAGTAGGCAATTAGAAACCACCCTGTGCAAAAAGGGGCTTACGACGGAATCGGTGTGTCTCTGCTGCATGCTGAAGAACAAGCCTTGCGTAGCCAACCACAACACCAGTATCGGAGGAATGTTGTCGGGCGACAAGACGGAATTCGAGTAACTTGTTCAAGGTCACACGCAGAGACGAATGGTGATCAAAGTGCGGGTTCCAGCTGCGTATGGACAGGGTGCTCACTTGACCATCCACAGCATTGTCGGTGGGCGCTGGCGTCTGCGGATCGATCAGTGCCAATATGACGTTGAACTTTGGCTTATTTGACGGCAATGGCGTATTGACCAAGGAACCGTAGCCGCGGATTAATGAAGCGCGAGAGACTATAGAAGTGAAAACACAAGTGTAGAAGAAAGTGTCATCTGGGATGAATGTTGATAATACATGTCGAGCCATGAGATGTCCATTACAAGTAATTGAAAAGGAAGGTAACAAGGTGGTAAGCAACTGGACCGAGAAGATAGATCAGCCGCTTCTAAATGTGCAGAGTCTAGGAACAAGGTTGTGTGTGAAGTCTGACCAGGATCCTCACACGTTGTGTAACAAAGTGGGAAACATTTACCAGTTAATGGAGAGCACATTAAGCCCCGCATTCATGAGCTAAATGAGGGTAGATAAATCTAGCGATGAACATCAGGTGGTTTGCAGCGAAATGATCTTACGAACCGACGAATTTGCATCACATGCCTCTCACGTTCTTTAAGAAAGAGGCGGATGTTCCAAGTTACCAGAGTGGGTCCCGAAAAGTAGATAACTCAAGGAATAAGCAGCACCATCCCTGTGCGATTAATCTGCCGCCAAGAGGAGGAATGTTGGTTTAAAAATTGCTAATGTCTCAAACGTCAAGCATGTCATGTGATAAAGCAGTAAACAGGCAAAACAGAATTCTAAACATCGCAAGTGACCACGAGAGCGAGAATGGTACAGTGACTGCAATCTTCAAGTGGCTTCGCCTCAAATCCGAGCTTCGACAGCACCAAAGTGGTGGTGCATTTTGGTGAATACACAGGATGACAAGGAAGCAAAGGGAAACAAGCCGTTTCGCACTAGCCATTCGAAGATCGCTGGCTAACGAAACGTGTAACGGAGATAAAGGTCTTGATGACAGTACAGTTTCCAAGGAGAGAGAGCAGGCAATAGACACGTCGAAATCTAAAAGAGTGCACATAAGGATAACGGTTCACAATGGAATAAAACTACACGCACATGTGATGATTGTGATCGAGGTGTTGTAAGTAGAACGTAGCAATAATGCATGAGGTGTGTCACGGGTGCCCGCCATGCCAGTATACTAGTCGATCCTCTTCAGAAGTAAGGAGGTGGTCGATGACCCTCTTCCCGTTAAACCTAGTCATGGGAGATAATAGGTCCACGAGTTATAAGCTCACAGCTCGTTTGGCGTAGAGCACGAGCGCCACGCATTGTCTCTGACGGTGGGAGAACACCTCCGATTGTTCAATGGTTTGCTACTGTCTGCATCAAGCCAGGCAGCCACTGGTCAAATTGGTGCAAACCCGCCAAAACCTACCTGCGTCTGGTCGTGGTCGCAGGTACGTATCCTACTAGGGTCGCAAAACATATAGGAATCGCTCCAGTACCCCAAAGGCTGCGTGTAACGGACAACAAGCAGATCCCAATCTGTCTCTGAAATCACATTCCCGAGCTGCATCTGCTCCCCAACTGTCTTGTGGGTCAGGCTATTGATCTAAAGGCTCCGGGTGGAGTCCCTCAAGCAAACCTCCGAAGCACTACCGCCACCTCGCGCGCGATCGCCCACTAATCCAGTCGTATGCCTGCATGCAAAGCACTCAGCATCGGGTGCTGGAACGCGCGCACACTACTGGACCCGAACTCCAGTGAGCGCCCCGAGCGACGCACTGCACTGGTCGCGATGGAACTGGCGCGCTACCACATCGATATTGCGGTGCTCAGTGAAACCCGGCTCGCTGAGCAAGTTAAGTTGCATGAAGCAGGAGCTGACTACACATTCTACTGGGTGAACAACGCCGCCTCAGCACCACGTGATTATTGGGTCGGATTTGCAACATCCGATCGCCTCCATGGCCAGCTCGTGGTTGAACCAACAGGTATCAGCGCGCGACTGATGACTGTTCGCCTACGACTCGGAAAAGGTAAGTTTGCTACTTTTATAAGCACGTACGGTCCGACCATGTGTTATCCTGATGAAACGCATGATCAGTTCTACACTCAGCTATTCTCCGTGATACGGTCTGTGCCGACGAGCGATCGACTATTTCTGCTGGGTGATTTCAACGCGCCCGTTGGGCATGATGCATCGCTGAGGACAGATGTTATCGGTCCGCATGGCATTGGTTCAGCGAATGCGAACGGTGACAGGCTACTCTCACTGTGTGCCACTCACGGCCTGACGATCACAAACACTCGGTTTACACTGAGTGCGAGCAGCTTGGACGCACCCACGGAGTGGTCACGCTCACCTGCTCGACTATGTCATCATACGTCCGCGTGATATGCGTGGTGCGCATGACACGTGTCCTGTGTGCAGCTGAGTGTGGCACTGATCATAAATTGGTGCGGACCAAACTGTATATATGTTTTCGTAAATCTATGTATTGCACTCCCGCCGTGAATCGGCGTAAATCTAATATTTTCTCTCTCAGTACTGTGGCGAAGCGTATTGAGTTGGAGAAGGCGGTGGCTGCACCCCTGTGTGATGTGGACTGCATAGCCACAGTGGGCGACCTGTGGCACCACATTCGCGACCAGGTGACAGCTGCTGCCGAGGAGACAATTGGGCGCGCAAACTGCAAGCGGCCTGATTGGTTTGATGAGAACAATGCGACGATTGGCGCATTGGTGTCGAAGAAGAATGCAGCATTTGCTGCACATGTGGCAAACCCCAGTGACTTGGGGAAGAGTAGTCAGTTTCGCAAACTTCGATGGCGACTGACTCGCGAGCTCCGTCGCATTAAAAATGTATGGTGGACGGAGAAGGTGGAGCAGATGGAATGCTACGCCGAACGCCGCCAACACAAAGAATTCTTTGACTCCTTGAAGACGGTGTATGGACCGAGATTGGAGGCGCTGAGGACGCTTATCGATGGTACTTTAGCCGCTACCTGTACACAGACTGCAGACATAATGCAGATCTGGCGGAAACACCTGGACTGTCTCTTGAACAGCTGTTCGGAGATCGACTGGCCTACATTGAACGGCCTTAGGCAGCACGATGTGAAGGCGAGTCTGGCGGACACGCCGACACTAGATGAGACGCAGAGAGCACTTGCTCAGCTGCGAAACGGCAGGTGTGCCGGTGCCGACGGGATCCCGCCTGAAGTATTGATACACGGCGGACCCGCGTTGGTGACTGCTCTGCACCGCTTGGTACAACGTGTAAGGATTGAGGAGGAGGTGCCTCCTGAGCTGAAGGATGCCCATGCGCTACCACTAAGGTAGCAAGCAATGTTGCGACAGAGATTAACGGAATATCTCGGTAGTTAAAGCAATCGTCGAGGGTGCCTTTCTTGTGAATAGGACAAGTGACCGATTATCCACATGAGTTCGGAACCTTCTCCTCCGTCCAAACTTTCGTGAACAGCGATAGGATTTCGCTGACAAGAACACTCCCGGCATCTTTGAATAGAGCCGGTGGTAGGCCGTCGTGACCAGAAGCCTTGTGGCGTTTCAAAGATTGGATTGCGTCATGGATCTCTGCTTCAGTTGGGCGGGGGCCTGTGTAGACAAGCCAAACCTCATCCGTTGGGGATGGAGGTGCCACAAAGAGTTGTGTTGGGTGGTTGAATTTTAGAGCGAAATGCTGTGCCCAACGACCGAATCGCGTGTGAAGGCTGGTGATTTTCGTGCCGTCGGGTTCGCAAATCGTCTAGCTGATAGCGTGGGAATTGCAACTGGTGGCCCTATTGAGGCAAAATAGACGGCGGAAGTTACCAGCTGATGCAGCGGCTTCCATCTCATCGGCTTGCTTTGGCCATCAAGATTCATGATAAGAGCGAAGGCTTGCATTCAGCTGCTGCGTACTAGACCGGCGGTATTCGTTGTGCTCTGCCCCAGTAGGCATCGCCCGTCGGCGATCCAGCAATTCCGAGGATCTTCCCGAGGTCTAGCTTTTGGGAGTGGAACGAGTGAGCCCACAACTGGATAAACTGGCAAACAGCATGGCTTGTTGCAGACTTGACCAGTGTTGATCAACATCCAGAGTGGGAGAGGGAGCGAGATTTTCACGAAGCTTTTGTTGATACTCCTTCTTCACCATTGGGTCCTCCAAATTGTAGGTGTTCAGTCAGGTATGTGTGGACCTTAGTGAACCACCGTAACGCATGCCAACGGTCGCACATACCAGTGCATGATTGGTATGGACATAAGTTGACCAAAATGATCGCAGTCGCGTACACTGCCGCGTCACCTGCGACTTATGGCTATGTGGTCAGTGACCAGCGCTGGGTTGATGGTCGGAGAAGCGAAGTGACGTACTAGTGTCCAGGATGACGAAAACTCGTGTTGGAGAGGAAAAGCTGATGATGAGCACACAGACTGAGCAGTCTCTCTCCGTTGTTTGAGCGAACATCATCATATCCATGCAGTCCCCTGAGGTGGCACTCACATGGCAGCAGCCGAGAGACAAGCGCGTTGAAGTCTCCTGCCAAAACAATAATGTCTGTTTTAGGAGATCTTAGGAGCAGCTCATGAAGATTCTGGTAGAACTGGTCCTTGACTCTGTCCGAGCTACAGTCAGGGGGTGCGTAGGCAGAGATCACGAAGAGAGCATGCTTTTCGAATTGACCTCTGCTAAGTTTACAAGAGTCATGAAGCCTCATCGCATAAAGGCGACTACTAATCGGAATCTAATCAATCAGAACAGCCTCGACTCTAGCATCGAGGGTGATTCGAACACCAGATTGCCCAGATGCGACAGACTCGGTGTCACCAGAGAGGCGGAGATGGAAGTGGATGCGTGGGTGGAGTGGTGACACCAGCTGGTAGACCGAGTTGGAGTCCTGAAGTCGCGTTTCACTGTCCGGATATCAATTCCAAGTGTCTCTAGCGTGCGTGTAAGTCCAGCTTTCTGACCGATCTGCAGTAATGTGCGTATGTTGAAGGATACAAGGATGAACTACGTGCCGGGTTGCAGGCGAGAAGGTGGGAGACTTCGGGGCTGGCAGCTCTCTGTTGAGCACTGTGTGGTTGGTTTAGCAGATGTCAAGGGAACAGGTTCATCGGTGGAGGTGGGGTTGATCGCAACAGAGGAATCAGGTAAAAATGGGTGTGAATGGTACAAAGGGAGGGTAGGTAAAATGATGACGTGTGCATGTGAAGTTGACAT